CTTCCTGCTGAATCCCTCCCACCCGCCCCCAAACAGCCGGGCTCAATAGAAGGAGAGGGGGTTTGCAGGACAGCCAAGGAAAATGCCTTAGCTCCCTGAGGATGTTGAGCCAGTCTCTCCCCACCCGGAGGGATTTTGTCAAAAGCATTGAGCGTGGACGGAGGTGAGCTGTCACAGCATCTGAATTCCCGGAGGGAGCCCTGGCAGGCGGAGACACTTGTTGATTGCTTCTCTTCTGAAAAGCAGCAGGGCCCACTGAGAGGCCCTTTCGGCGCCTTCAGGAGTCCTGGGCTTAGGACGCGTCGACTCCGGGAGGCGACAGTTCCCAGGGTAGGATGTTGGCAGGCGGTCCTGGCGGAGCGGGGCTGGAGGGTTCGTGTGAGCAGCGTCTATGTGGTCCAAATGGAGAGGCTGAGCTTAGCTCCTGAGTTGGACGGCTCGGATTCCGTGGGACTGTCGCCTACTGGAATACGTAGTCTCTCTGCCCTGTGCCTTTCTTTGGCTTCAAGCAAATTGTTCATCTGAGAAGATGATCTCTGGTTAGGAGTGAAAGAATCAAGGATGAAAATGATTCCAAACTAAGTAGCTCTTGGTAAACTCAAACATTTGTTGAAGAAATGAATGACCAAATGAATTTCACTGAATCAATTTGGAGGATAGAACAGGCACCCCTGGACTCTGCGCCTCAACTTTTAGAAGTAGCTTTCTGATCAGAATTTAGCACTTAACCTTTATATTTCATTAATCTCACAAGCGAAACAGGAGTAAAATGGTGGAGACGTGAGCTCTTCACACTCACAAGCTCCTCAAGTGAAAGGTGATATTTAGGTCGAACAATTAGGAAAAATAAAGTGAAAACCTCCTGGTAGCAGTTGAGGGCCTAATTATTTCAAGTGGTATTTGGGTTCACCAAGTGTAGTAAAACCTGAAATTTGATAGTTTCTAGTTTTTTAGATCATACTGTCAAATAATAATGGATTAAAACTGTTTTGACAGCTCAGGGGAAAAGAAAGATACTATGTTATAGGTTTCCTGTTTCTTTTCCTCCTCCTGCAGTATGCATTATATATCCACATGGCATTTTATTTGTTAATTTAATCAGTATCTTTGAGCACCTGTTAGCCTGGCATAATGTTTAGACCCTGATACAATACTAGATCTTCAATATAACCACACCTGTAAGGTGATTTACGATAAACTCTTCATCGTGGAATGTCACATATGAAAAGGGACCTCAGAGATTACATATCTCTACACATGTCCCTCTTTACAGATATGACAGTGGAGGCCTGGCAGGCTTTTACTGTGAATCAATGTGTTTGGCCCTAAGGTTCCAAAAGTGACCAAGAGGCGATCCCTGTCCTCAGCGCACTAACTCTACTGAAGGAAACAAAATTAATCTCAGTGCAGTTGTGATATGAGTAAGCACAGGTATTGTGGGAAAGAGGCAATTAGGAAGGATCGAAAAATGCTTCCGACTAAGGAACCCTAAGCTGAATCTTGAAGGATGAGTAGAAATAGCCAAGTGAGGAGGAGAAAGGCATGATGTTCCAGATGGACAGAGCAGGCAGCATGTACAAGAGCCCCGGCTGGAGCAAGCAGGGAAAGCTCTTCAAGTCAGTTTCATCTGACTGTTAGTCAAGAGTTAGACGGTTAAATTACTAAGAGAATGCTCTACAGGACTCAGGTTCCCTACCATTAACTGTTCATTGAGTTTCTAGCAGTAAAGCAGACTCTTATTTGGGAAGAGAGAATACACTTTTCAGTGAGGTCTGTACGTTCAAAGTCCCTCATGTTTTCCTACTAGTGGAGTTGTTAATAGGAAAGGCTCTCAACTTAAAGAGACTTTTAAAAATGTATTTGACAGTACATTAATGCTTAAAATTTCCACTTTTCTGGAAGTTCATCTGAACTCTTGGCCTCTCACTTTTTACTGACGTATCCTTTATAGCATACCAAGCATGCTGCCATATACTAATTCAGGTCTTAAAGGCAGCTTTGCTTTGAGTCTGGTTGCCAGAGATAAGACAGGCGGCGATGCCTATTTATGTTGTGCTGTAATGTGGTGCAAATATATCTAACTGCTGTGTTAAAGATAGGTGCTAGGATAAACTTTCTTTTTTCTGGTAATAGCTTACAACTAACACTTGCAGTTGTAAAACTTACCATCTTCGAATCTAGTAAAATTAAACAGGTTTTTATTCTTTCTAGCTAACCTTTAAGGTAATTTCCCTGATGGCCACATTTCTTTATAGGACTGACACATTAAGGGTTGAGCAAGTTCCATTTGCTAATAAGTCTATTAGCTAACAGACTGAACTGAGGCAATATTTCATTTTCACTGGAAGGTAGGATTCAGTTTCATTTAGTAAACATTTAATGAGGATAAAAGGATAAAATGGAAGGAATCTGACCTGAGACCTCTGTTAAGCCTCAAGTCTGCAGTAAAGTCTCCAGTCTGGCTTTTTTTTTACTTTAAACCAATCCAATATATAAAAACTGGATTTATAAGACATAAAATAGAAGGGAATATTTTTACAAAAGCATTCAACTGTTAAGTCTTCAACTAAGAAGGTTTCCTAGTACATATAAAATATTAATAAACAGACGTCATATTTGCATAGAACATGCTTAGTGACATGTCAGTTGTATAAAAGAAGTGACATCTCTTGATGGACTGTGTTCTTTTTTTTTTGAGTTGGAGTCTCACTCTGTTGCCCAGACTGTGGAATGCAGTGGCCGCTCCCAGCCACCACATCCTTGACCTGCTGGGCTCCGGCGATCCTTCCGTCTCAGCCTTCCGAGTAGCTGGAACTATAGCCGCGTGCTACCACGCCTGGCTAATTTTTTTGATTTTTTGTAGAGATGAGCTCTTGCCTGCCCAGGCGGGTCTCAAACCCGCGGGCTCAGGCAGTCCACTCACCTCAGCCTCCCAAAGACGCGAGATTACAGGCTAAGCCACCGAGCCCGGCTGGACTGTGTTCTTTTAAGTGATCCATGAAACAAAAACTGTTTGTTATAGCCAGGTGTTATGGCACAAGCCTGTAGACCCAGCAACTTGAGAGGCTAAGGGAGGATCACTGGAGCCCAGGAGTTCAAGGCCAGCCTGGGCAACATAGTGCCCAGACTCAAAATGCCAAAAATGATTTGCTGAACTCTTTACCATAACTAAATGTTGTTATTTTTTGCAATAAAGTTGTTGTTCTTAGCCACCTAACGAAACATGTTAAACTGCAGCCCCTGCCTCCCAGGAAATGTTTATTCTACAGTATTAAAAAAAATTAAAGTATCAAATTTTATCTGAATTAGTATCATTAAATTTACCTGTGAAGAAGCTAGCTACAGAGAAGCAACTTTGTATTTCATTATCATGAAATAGTATTTTCTGTTTTGGTACTAGCAAAAGTGTATAAAATTAATTGGTTTAGTGTTTTTTTGTTTGTTTTGCCTCCATTGGACTCAGCTATGTTTGGAATATCTGCCATGGCACTTTGTTATCTGCATTTCAGAACACTTTCCTTCCTGATGGAAAATATAATGCTTATGAGGGAATCTTGCAAAAAAAAGAAAGAAAGAAAACTTACCAGGGTCCAATCACGCTTCTCTAGATCCAGCTACAATTTACAGGAAATATGAGGGCAAAGAAACATATTTATTGACACCTCAGCAAAATCTAGAGTCTGCAGAAAAACAACCCAGTTTCATTACAAATAAATTGCAAGAAATAAGAGAGTGAGAGGATTACAAAAGTTTTGAGACATATCAGCCAATTGCAACATGTGGACCTCACTAGAATCTTTATTTCACAAACTATAAGATATATATATATATTTTACATATGACATTTTGAGAAATATGAGTACTGTAACTTGGTATTTGATATTAAGGAATTATTACACTGATAACTATTGAAGTTGGGTCATGAGGACTTGAGGATTAATTACCTCATTTACGTGTGACTATATTTAAATATTTTTTTCATTAAAAAGTTAAAAAAAAAAGACTTGTAGAAATAAAAGAGAAAACCAAAGTTGGCCAGGCACAGTGACTCACACCTATAATCCTAGCACTTAGGGAGACTGGGGCAAAAGGATCACTTGAGACCAGCCTGGGTAACAGCAAAACTTTTTTCTACAAAAAGTGAAAAAATTAGCTAGGCATGGAGGCTGAGGTGGAAGGATTGCCTGAGTCCAGGAGGTTGAAGCTATAGTGTGCTGTGATCATGCCACTGTATTCCATCCTAGGCGACAAAGTGAGACTCCAACTCAAAAAAAAATAAAAAGAGAAACCAAAGATGTTCCTACTTTATCTTTTTCTAAAAAGAGAAAGTGAAAATAATCTTTATTATAGATTATCAGTAGGTATATGATGTATATTAATGGAGGAATTGGCTTAATTTACCAAAATTACATTAATCATAAATCCTTTATGAATAGTAATGTACTCGAATTGTTATGCTATGTAATGAAGTTGGCTCTCTGTACTTGCAGGCTTCACATTCACAGAGTCAACCAAGGATTGATAATATTTGGGGGAAAAAATAACAATACAATGATTAAAAATAATGCAAGTTAAACAGTACAGTGTAACAACTATTTACATAGCATTTGCATTGTATTAGGTATTATAAATAAGAGATGGTTTAAAGCATATGGGAGACCGAGCACAGTGACTCATGCCTGTAATCCCAGTACTTTTGGGAGGCGGAGGTAAGAGGATTGCCTGGATTTAGGGTTTTGAGACCATCCTGGGCAACTTGGTGAGACCTTGTCTCTACAATAAATAAAAAAAATTGACTGGGCCTGGTGGTGCTTGCTACTTGGAAGGCTGAGGCAGAAGGGTCGCCTGAGCCCAGCAGGTCCAGGCTATGGTAGTCAGGAATACGTCACCTCATTCCAGCCTGGGTGACAGAGTGAGACTCTGACTCAAAAATAAATGAATACATAAATTAAATAAAGCATATGGGAGGATATGGATAGGCTGTATGTAAATACTGTACCATTTTATAGGAGGAACTTGAGCATACAGAAGTTTGGTATCCTGGTGGACCCTGGAACCAATATCCTACAGATACTTAGGGATGACTGTAATTAGACTGATTTTTGGATGAACAGGATTGATGTTAACTTTTTGGGAAAAGAATGCTAAGATTCACTATAGTGTGAATACTGTGATTTGGAGTAGAGGATATGCTTTCAGACTCATTTTTCTTTGGAAACAAGAAGGATCACAGATGCGTTCTGCAGCCTTGCTACTCAGAGTGAGTTCCACAGACTGTTGACATTGTGGTATTAAATAGCAAGTAGTTGAAGGAGAGAGGCAGATTACAAGGGAAGCTGGTATTTTCATATTCCTGATGTTATTTGGGTTTTCCCTCCAGGCAGAAGCTGAGGAAGATTGTCATTCTGATACTGTCAGAGCAGATGATGATGATGAAAATGAAAGTCCTGTTGAAACAGATCTTCAGGCAAGTATCTTCAATTGTGTACTTAAATCTTATTCCATTGCTTCCCATCTGCATGCAGAAACTGGTCATAACTAGTAAAGTTGTAGGTTCTTATGGTTTGCATTGAATTTAGCTGTGTTTTCATGTTGGTTTATAGGACACATAGAGTGTATTGTAATGTTCTTTTTCTGTAAAAAGAAATATCAATAATGACTGGTATTTAGTTCAGTATATGGGTTTAAAGCAGGGGTCCCCAACCCCCAGGCCACAGACTGGTACTGGTTTGTGGCCTGTTAGGAACCGGGCTGTACAGTAGGAGATGAGTGCAGGTGAGCAAGTAAAGCTTCATCTATATTTATAGCTGCTCCCCATCGCTTTTGTCATCACCTGAGCTCCATCTTCTGTCATTAGATTCCCATAGGAGAATAAACCCTATTGTGAACTGTGCATGCAAGGGAACTAGGTTGCTCTCCCTATGAGAATCTAATGCCTGATGATCTGAGGTGGAGCTGAGGCCGCGATGCTAGCTCTGGGAAGTGGCTGCGAATACAGATGATCATTAGCAGTGAGGTTTGACTGCACAGAGACCAAAATAAATCAGTTGCTTGCAGACTCATATCAAAACCCTATCAGTGAGTGACAAATGAGTTGATGTACTTCGATTGTACACCTGCATCAGATTTTAAGTCAGAATCCAACACTTACTTCAGTCTGTATGTAACAGGCCTATTATTTTATTTATCATTTCCATCTGTACCTCTTTGTTTATGGTGAGTTGTGTAATATTTCATTATATATTACAATGTAATAATAATAGAAATAAGGTACATAATAAATGTTATGCGCTTGAATCACCCCAAAACCATTCCCATCTCCCTCCTTCCCCCCTGTTCATTGGCATCACAAGACTGGTCCCTGATGCCAAAAAGACTGGGGTCTGCTGGTTTAAAAAGTATTCAAACTAGGAGTTAAGCATGACTCAAAACCCATAACCTTGAAGAGAACGATTAACAGCTGTGACCATCTAAAGGTTTGCAACCTGTATATACAAAAGACATCATAAATAAAGTTAAGAGAAAGTCAGATGGAAAAATTATTGACCATGGGCAGAGGATTAATATTCTCGTATATAGAGTATTCTTATAAATTTGTAAGAGGGACATGGGATGGAAAGATATGAGTAGACAGGTAATGGGAAAAAAAAAACCATAAGTGACCATTAAATATTTGAAGAGCTAATTGGCCTCATTAATAATTTATTGAGACTGTAGATAATGTCCAGACTGTCCAGGATGTGAGAACACTCATGCAGGATGAAAATGTAAATTACTACTTTTATGGAGAGCAGACTGGTGATGTAAATCAGAATGAAAAGCATGCATTCCCTTTATATGGCAATTCTACTTCTAGGAAATTAATCCTAAGGAAATAATGGGGAGAGGGAGTAAATATGCATGTACAAAGATGTTTATTACAGCACTGTTTATATGGAAAAACATCATACAGCCCAAATAATCAATTCTTTGTGGAAAAGAATGATGCATGCATACAGTGAAATACACTGTAGCCATTTACGAAGGAGGATCCCCAAAAAACCAGAATTATCTTTTGGAGAGCTGGCCCCTTGTAGTAGAGGCTTCCCCTGCTAGTTAAGTGTTTTAGGAACCCATTGGCATCAGTGTACCAGCTAGCATTTTTGTGAGAGGCTATGTTCGGCTTCAGTGAATTTTTTTGTGGCAAACAGGTGATTAGTTCTTCCACTATGACAATGCACCTGCCCACACCATGCTGAGTGTTCAGCAGCTTTTGGCCAAAAATGGCATGTCCCTCATGAGCTACCCTCCCTATTCACCTGATCACCCTGAGTAACGTTTTTTTTGTTTCCCTGATGAAAAATTCCTCAAAGGGAAACATTTGACCGATGTGGAAGAGGTGAAACAAAAAACAGCAGAAGCACTAAAATGCATCAAAATTGACAAGTTTGAAAACTGGTTTGTGCAGTAGAAAAAGCATCTCGATAGTTTGTATTGCATCAAATGGAGAGTACTTTCAAGGTGACTGAAGTTTAAACATGTAAGGATAAATACACAATTTTTTATAAATAAAGTCCAGGGTTTTTTTTAAGGTCCCTTCTCATGAAAGAATGAAGTAAACCTTTGTGTTGAAATAGAAAAAAACAAAAAAAATTCACTGTGATTAATTGAGTGTGTCTCACAACTTACAAACTTGAAACACTTGCCTATTTGTAATTTGCCTATTTGTCTAGTAGAAAGTGCTGCTAAAGACTCTGTAGGTCAGGGATATGTGTAGAGCGTGCTAGAAGTAGGAGTGGAAACAAAGCAGCATACACAATATTGAGAAATTTGTTAATACATTTTAGGCCGGTGCAGTGGCTCACACCTGTAATCTCAGTACTTAGGGAGGTTTAGGCAGGACAATTAGCCCAGAATTCAAGACCAGTATAGGCAACATAACAAGATTTCATCTCTATGGAAAAAGTTAACTGGTCATGGTGGCATGTGTCTGTAGGCCCAGCTCCCTGGGAGGCTGAGCTGTGATTGTGCCACTGCATACCAGCCTAGGCAATAGAGTGAGGCCCTGACTGGAAAAAAAAATTTAGATATATCTTTTTCAAAAAGGATCCTAGGAATAATATATACAGTCTTATTAACAATGGCCCCCTTTGGTAGGAGCAGTAACCCACTTGGGTTCCCCAGGAGATAATTCCACTCAGGTGAAGATGACCATGCAGGAGGTTTATCAAGGCGCACTCCTGGGGAGGGAGGAGTCCAGCTGCCACGCAGTCTTGATGGATCGCCTTGGCCATGCCCCAGGGAGTTCTGAAGGTGGAATGAATCCTCTTTCAGAGCTGACCTGAGTGGCAGTGAAAGAGCCAAGCCTTTATCAACTTTGATCAGTTACCGGGTGAGGATTGAGAAATGATGTGATCTTGACAAGGCAAAACCAAAGGGCTGCCAGCTTTCTATTTTCAGTCAGTACTTCCTGCAGTTGGGAAATGACTTCTTTATTCCTGAAGGGGAACCTGGACAGCACACCAGAGTCTGCCACACAGGGGGACTTCACTTTTTATGTGTTTAAAATGTTTGAAATAATTTTGTGATGGCTTATATTTTTCATTCTAATTAAAATGTGGCTGTCCAGTATCATTAGACCTGCTGTATTAGTTGACTTATTTTTAGCGTAATTGTCTTGATTATTTAAAATTTTGAGCAGAAAATTATTTTTAAAGATAATAGGTATTTAATGGGCATTAGCCTGGTGACTTAGAAGGCAGTGTTTGCTGGTCTTAGACTAATAAGAATATGCATGGAGGGAGCTGCTGGACATGTTGTTAAATTATTCTGAAGTTAAACTCCTCTTCCTTGATGACCCCTAAAATACTTTTCTCCCTGTAGGCGCAACTACAGATGTTCCGAGCTCAGTGGATGTTTGAACTCGCCCCAGGTGTAGGCTCTAGCAACTTAGAAAACCGATCTTGCAGAGCCACGAGAGGCTCTCTACAGAAAGCAGCAGCAGATACCAAAGGAAAACAAGAGCAGGCAAAAGAAGAAAAGTTAAGTATTATAGACATTGCAACAAATTATGTTTTTTGTTGTTGTTGGTGGTGGTACATAGACGTTTTCACTGACACAAGTAATCATACAATAGTGTATCCATCCCTCATCATTTCTTCTAGGTGCTTTGGATGGTCCCTCCACTCCTGTTTTTTCCGCTGTAGGTGCAATGTCTTCAAGGCACTGCCTCTTGTTAATTTATAGACCTCTAGCCGGGCTCGGTGATTCAGCCTGTAATCCCGCGCCTTTGGGAGGCTGAGTGAGTGAATTGCCTGAGCCTGCAGGTTCGAGACCCACCTGGGCAGCGAGACCTCAGCTCTACAGTAAATCAAAAAATCAGCCGGGCGTGGTAGCACATGCCTGTAATTCTGGCTACTTGGAAGGCTGAGGCGGAAGGATCGCCGGAGCCCAGCAGGTCGAGGCTGCGGTGGCCGGGAGCGGCCACTGCACTCTAGTATGGGCGACAGAGTGAGATTCCAACTCAAAAAAAGAAAAAAAAAAAGAAAAAATTTATAGACCTCTGAGATTCACTTGGTTGAAAGATTGATGCCTCTGAATTTATTAACAGAAACCCAAAAGGAAAAAAAATGTTCACGTTAATGCCCTTCCAAAGGTCTTGCCTTAATGCAGTATTTTTTTATATCTTGAGTTGATCAGCTTACAGCAATACATTAATTATTTCCTTATTCTGGAAAATTTGGAAAGTGCTCACACTGGAAATATTTTGAATGCTGTCTAACTAGTCATTTCTCTCCTGGCACTTATCACATGGAGTAGGCACAGCATACCATTTCACTTTTTATTATTCTCATCTTCCATAGAGCCTACCATCTTTATGCCATCAGGTCCAAGGTTTTGTTTACAATTAGTCATTAAATAGTTGGTATTACCATGATGACTGTACTCCTTTTGTTTTGTTCTTCCATACTCATTTTGTTTGAATTTTTATTTTGAAGTAATTCCAGGTGTAAAGGTACAGAGAAGTCCTGTGTACTCTTCACCTACCTCCTTTTGGTAACATCGTGAATAATTACAGTCCCATATCAAAACCTAGGAGATAGACATTGGCACAATCCACAGAACTTGTTTAGGTTTCCTGGGCTGACAGGCAGTTATCTGTGTATGTGTATAAATGGTTCTGTGCATTTTTACATGTGGAGTGTTACATGACCGCCACCACAAATAGGACACGGAACTGTTTTCCTTCCCACAAGGACCCTTCATGCTACATCTTTAGAGTCACACGCTCCCTTCTCCTGGCCCCCAGCCGTTCTGAACCACTGGCAGCCACTCATTTCTTCTCCACCGTGTATTGTGATATTCCAAGAATGTGTAGATGGAGCCATACAGTATATAACCTTTCGAGATGGCTTTTTTCACTCAGCATAATTCCTTAAGAGCCATCCAAGTTGTATTTCAGTAGCTCCTTTTGATTGTAGAGAAGGTTTGCATGATGTGGATGTACCCCAGTTTAACCATTTACTTGCTGAAGGACATTTGAGTTGTTTCCAAGTTTGTGGCTATTATGAATAGAGCTGCTGTGGATGTTTGTGTGCAGATTTTTGCACAGACATAAATTTTAATTTCTCTGGGATAAAGGCCCAAGAGTGCAGTTGTTAAGTTTTGTAGTAAGTGCATGTTTGGTTTTCGGAGAAACTGCCACACTGTTTTCCAGAGTGTACCATATTACGTTACCACCAGCAATGTGTGAGTGAACCAGTTCATCTCCGTCAGCGTTTGGTGTTGTCACTGCTTTTTTAGCCATTCTAATCGGTGTGTAGTGATGTTTCACTGTGATTTTAGTTTGCTTTTCCCTATTGGCTAATGAGGGTGAACTCCTTTCATGTGCTTACTTCTCATCCATACATTCTCTTTGTGAAATAGCTGTGTATGTCTTTTCTAATTGGGTTGCTTGTTTTTTTAGTGTCAATTTTTGAGAGTTCTCTATGTATTCTAGAAATTAGTTCTTTGTCGCATATGTGGCTCATAAATATTTCTCCCAGTCTATAGCTTGACTTTTCATCCTTCCTAGGACAGGGTATTTCACAAAGCAAAAATTTTAATTTTTATGAGGTGTAGCTTATCAACTTGTTCTTTGATAGATAGTGCTTTTAATGTCAAGTATATAAGAACTCTTAGCCTAGTTTTACATCTCCAAGATTTTCTTTTGTCTTTAAAAGTTGTATAGGTTTACATTTAAGTCCATGATCCATTTCAATTAATTTTTTGTGTAAAACATGAGACTTTGGTCGAGGTTCATTACTTCGCCCATGGATGTCCAACTGTTTAGCACCAGTTGTTGAAAAGACTCCCTCTTCTGCCATCCATACTAACTTTTAATATAGATTTTCAAAAATATTCACTATATTTTTACAGGCTCGAGAACTCTTCCTAAAAGCGGTAGAAGAAGAACAAAATGGAGCTCTCTACGAAGGTAAAAACTTAGAGCCCAAGATTATGTTGTCATGTCATTTCTGAACAACAATTCTGTTACTGACCAGTCTATTTTTTTTTTTTTACTATAACATATTTGGGATAGAATATCAGCCTTCCTATAGAGTTGTCTCTCAGTATTCATTGGAATTGGTTCCAGGACCCCCAGAGGATACCAAAATCCAGGGATGCTCACGTCCCTTACATAAAATGGTGTAATATTTACATATAACCTACTTATTTATGTTCTCTCATAACCTTAAGTCATCCCTAGATTACTTACAATACCTAATATGATGTAAAGACTTTGTAAATAGTTGTTACACTGTATTTTTTTTTTTGTAATTTGTATATTTTTTCTACATATCTTTGATCTGCAGTTGCTTGAATCTGAGAATGCAAAGCCCACAGATACGGAAGGTCAACTGTATTTGAATTTTTTAAAAAAAACTCAAAAAAATTGTATTTTTACATAATCTGTGTTTTGCAAAAAACATTGCTGGGAAACATCATATTGGTAGAATGAGTAAAATATGTTTTTCTACGTTTAGTTTTAGCACTTATTCCTCATTAATAAAGTCTTTAAAAATTGTTATTCATTTTAAAATAGGATAGACTGCTTTTATAGATGAAAATTACTTCAGAGGATGGGAATATAAAGGATAAATCAAGGAGTGTATAGATGTTTCCTTTCTAAATTCTCATTTACATTTTACCCATAGGAATAGGCTTCGGCCTTGACTCTTTTATTAACCCAATGGAAATGTATAAGTGAACAAAGTGATAGTACTGGTTACTGTTTTAGGTGGTAATGATGCTTTCATTTGTGGTGATAAAGATAATAATTGGGGATTGGAAAAGTCCTTGTGCTTGAGTCATTTGAAAATGCCTCAGAAATAACATTCATAGTTACTACGTTGATGTGCAGGTTTAGTGTAGTGATATTTTTAGTCCAGTTTTAGAAGAGTCCTGGTATCAGGTCCCTGTGCATCTTCATTAGTTTGTGCATCATCTCTGCTTGGTATATGGTGACTCTCCTAGAAAAATAGAACATGATTAATGAACAGTTGTATACCTAACCCTAAATTGTACCCCACATTTTTAAAATTAAAAAATTAAAACGAAAAGAAAAGAAAAATAGAACATGGCAGAGTATATGGAATTGCACAGCGTTCCTCCAAGGGAGAAAGAACTGGTCAGTCTCAACAGCCCCAAGTTCTACCAGCATATTTCTCTGGGAAAAGATTATTGACTATTTCAGCTCTCAACTACCTGGCCAGGAGGTCTGTAAAAATGCATAGATTTTAAAAATTATTTAGCTAAATTAGAGGCAGCTGGGCTAAAGGAGTTTGAATTTGAAAGATAAATTTCAAAAAACCTCTTCTCTTTATTCCACCCAGCTGAAAGCATTTAATTTTCCTCAACTCTGTGTCCTAGAAAGAAAAGCTTGCTTAGAAGTGTTTTTGTTGGGTCTATAGAAGTTGCATTTTCAGAACCCAAAGAAAGATAACTGCATAACAATTATGATACATTAAGAGGGTGAAGAAAAAGATGGAATGAGCTCAAAGATAAGACTAATATACAACATCTGCAGTTTAGAAAAAAGGTTCTTTCTGAGCAGTAAGCTTTGGAAATAAGTTGTGTCATTGAACTACTGTTGCACGTAGAGAAAGAGAATTTGACTATTTGTAAAGAAAGTTATCAAATTAAACCACAGTTAAGGAAATAACAAAACTGTGTGGTCATAGCTAATTTAGCTTTATTTCTTCTTTTAGCCATCAAGTTTTATCGTAGGGCTATGCAACTTGTACCTGATATAGAGTTCAAGATTACTTATACCCGGTCTCCTGACGGTGATGGCGTTGGAAACAGCTAGTGCGTATATAATTTGATAGACAGTATGCATAGAGTTTGTTAAAGTTAAGCGTCTTTGCCCTGTTGACTCTTAACATAAGAAGATGGTGCTTATTCTGTTAAGCTATATAGTCTTTAGTGTATCTTTGTTTATAAAGTTGTAGATATTTTTTAATTAGGGAAATTTAAAGGTTACTATGAAGAAATGCACATTTTAAACAGATAATGAATATAATAAGGTGATGAAATATTTTTTGTTGTAGTTTTGTTAAATAAAAGCAATGATTATTGAAAGGAGTAAATTAAAGGACACATTTTAGCTTTTTGAAATCTGCATGAAGTCAAAAGTATTAAAATGTAATTAGGCCGAAGTTGGCAAAATGTGAATAGTGGTTCAAATTGGGTGATGGGTACATGGAATTTTATTACAACAGTCTCTTCTTTTGTATATATTTGAAACTATACATTTTTTAGAAGTCTTAATTTTATTAGGGTAATACTGAACTATAAAAAAAACTTTATTATTCTTTTACCATATGTAGGTAGAACATTAAAATGCTAATGTTTGTTCAAAGCAGAGGTGCAAAATATAAGCCTGCCTGAAAGAAATTGTTTCACTGTACAGATGCCACTGTCATCAGTCAGGAAGTAGTATTGATGGTTTTATATGGACAGAGATCAAGAGAACATACTTTTAAGCCAAACTTTTGAGGCTGTTTGCGAGACAGTTATAAAATTGTTTTGAACTAATCCCACTATCCCCCAAAGCCCAGTTTGCTGATCTTAGAAGGGAAGGGAGAGAAAGTCACGAGAGAGTCATGTTCAGAATGAACAACACATAGAAAAAAATAGTTTTGGTGCTGAGATATTAGCTGTTATATTAATATAGTCCCTCTGTCATAAAATAGTTAAGTTACCTTTAATGGTAACGTATGCTTATTGCCAGTGTTTTGTAACTGCATATGGTTTGAATGCTTAAACTTTGGATAAGTCATATTAAAAACATTTCAGTGAAGTCAGTATTAATTGTCTGCTTGAATTTTCAACTAATAATATTGTTCATCACATTGGAGTTAACAGTGTGAGGTAGTTCATACTTAAAGTGAATCATTTGGTATTTTTCTAAACCTTCTTTAAATTTGAGTGGAGTAATCTAGGTCTAGTTCTTAGCCAGTTTTATAAATAGGTGCCAAAGGATGGTCATATTAGGCCAGAGGCAGTGGCTCACACCTGTAATTCCAGCATTTCTGGAGGCTGAAGCAGCAGAATTGCTTGAGCCCAGGAGTTTGAGACAGCCTAGGCAACATATATAGCAAGTCCTCGTCTCTACCAAAAACCCAAAAATTTAGCTGGGAACTTATTGATAAAGAGCTACTTGAGAGGCTAAGGAAGGAGGGTTTCCTGATGCCAGGAGGTCAAGACCAGCCTAAGCAACACAGCAAGACCTCGACTCTACAAAAAAATTAAAAAAAAAAATTTAGCCGGGTGTCATGGTGCATGCCTGTAGTCCCAGCTATTCAGGAGGCTGAGGCGGGAGGATCACCTGAGCCCAGGAAGTTGAGGCTGTGGTGAACTATGTTTATGCTCCAGCCTGTGCAACAGAGGAGGACCATGACTCAGATAAAAAGAAAGGTCATATTAAAACATTAAAGTATTTCTTTTCCATTCTTTATACAAACCCAGATGTTCTGAAAGTTCTTTAAGGATACAATCATTTTTTAAATAAGCTCTGATAAACCCTAAAATTTTTTGCTGTGGCTTTTTTTACCTTTCTTGTAAAATGTTTGTAGACTAGCCATTGAGTCCATCTAGCCTCAACCATACTTATTTTTGTTGTATTATTATACCATTTGTTGTATTAAAATGCCATTCTTGGTTTTCTAACTTCTTCACCCAAACTTTTTTGTAAGTCTGATCATCTTTTAGGTTTACTCCAGCAAAAATGGAGAGCTAGATGTGTTTCTAGCTCCCTAACTACATATTTGTATATACTGATAGATGCTTTGTGAATCCTTAGATGTTTTAAAATTAGGTATTTTTAAGTTAAGGCAAATCTGTTAGAAAACCCTTGGAAAGTAACTCAGATGACATCTGTGTATTTGATTTTTATCCAATTAGAATGAATTAAGATCACTTAAATAATTTATTTGAAAATCTTCACCAACTCAAGAAATCTTTACTTTACAATAAAACTAATTAGTTAAATCTCAATACCTGTATCCAAAAACTCTAATTCTTTCTGGGTGATAATTCTGAAGCTTTTTTCTTTGAAAAACTTGGTATGGTAGTCTTTTGCAAGGTAGACTAAACTCATAACATTTCAAAAAGTACTACATTTTGAATAAGCTTAAAGTGACTTTTTTAAAGCAGATTTGAAAGTACTGTGAAAAATCAGTTTCTGAACTATGTGTTTGTAGACTGAGGCAGCTACCTTCTTTTTTCAGCCTTGAAGATAACGATGATGACAGCAAGATGGCAGATCTCTTGTCCTGCTTCCAGCAGCAGCTCATGTTCCAGGAATCTGCACTCAAACTGTGTCAGCCCGAGCTTGAGAGCAGTCAGACTCACATTTCAGGTGTGACTCTTGGTGTTTTTTATTTATTTGTTTTTTTGAGTTGGAGTTTCTCTCTGTTGCCTAGGCTGGAGTGCACTGACACACTCATGGCCACCACAGCTGCGACCTGCTGGGCTTAGGCAATCCTTCCACTTCTGTATTCCAAGTAATTTGAACTACAGGCATGCACCACCATGCTCAGTAATTTTTTGATTTATTGTAGAGATGAGGTCTCGCCATGTTGCCCAGGCTGGTCTCGAACCCATGGGCTCAGGCAGTCCTTTCACCTCCACCTCCCAAAGTGCAGGGATTACAGGCGTGAGCCATTGCGCCCAACTGACTCTTGGTTTTTATAACTCAGTGAAAAATGCTTTAACAGTAGATGAAAGATTTCCAAGCTTATCAATTCAGATAGCTTGCCAGGTCATTGCTGCCCTAATTCAGAATATGGTGGTAGATCCAGCTCTAATTACCATTTGTATATACTAGTAAGCTGTTTCAAAACCTGTAGCAGATCCGCATTTTTGTACAGTTGCATTAGGATGCCATTTTTTTTAGTGAAGATCTAAGAGAGTGAGTCTGAGGTATGGAGGTAGCCCTAGAGAAATTGGAGGGATACTGTCATGACACATTTCAGCCAAGTTGAACAATAGTCCTGAGACAGGCTGAATGTTTAGAAATGAATGTATTTTTTTATATGTAAAATATTGTTTAATTGGCTATAGGGTTTGTCAAAGGAGGACAGTTGAAAATTTTCAAGAAGATGAAAAAATAACTTTTTCATGTTAATAAATGCAATATGCACCACACATAGTAGACTGTTATTCTAACACATTTATTTTAATGTATCTTGGTAAAATAATCTTGTGAAAGAATAGGGTACTTTATAAAAGTAACTTCAGATCTAGATCTAAAAACAAAGATACTTGTGTCTTAAGGTTTGGAACTGTTCATTATTATTTGGAATTTAAACATGTTCATGCTGTAGTTCTGAGCAATACTAAGGGTGTGATTTATAAATTTCTAGGAATGCATAAATGTACCAAGAGTGGGCCAGGTGCAGTGGCTCATACCTGTAACCCCAGCATTTTGGGAGCCTGAGGTAGGAGGATTGCTTGAGGCCAGGAGTTTGACCAGCCAGGGTAATATAGTGAGACCCAGTCTCTACACAAAAATTAAAAAATTAGCCAGGTGCAGAGGCATACACCTGTTGTCTCAGCTACTCAGGAGACTCAGGTAGGAGGATTGCTTGAACTCAGAAATTCACTCAGAAGTTCAAGACTGCAGTGAGTTATAATAAGCGCACCACTCCACTCCAGCCTGGGCAACAGAACGAGACCCCCATCTCTAAAACAACAATAACAAGCCCCCAAAGCAAACAAAAATGCACTGAGAATGTGGTTGTGACAATAGGATGATATATAGGTGAGTCATTGAGATGATTTTCTTTTGCAGTGCTGCCAATGGAGGTCCTGATGTACATCTTCCGGTGGGTGGTATCCAGTGACTTGGACCTCAGATCATTAGAGCAGTTGTCCCAGGTGTGCAGAGGATTCTACATCTGTGCCAGGTACTTAGTTTTGTTTTTTAAACAACTCCGGCAATGGTGAACTTTTGCCAATTTTGATAAAAAAGAACTTGATTGATGTTCTGGGTAAAAGCTTAGAACAAGCAGAAGTTTTGCAAGGCTGTACCTAACATGATTTAAATTACTTAGCATTCATTGACTAGAATGTTCTAGGTTTCCAGGGTCATTAAATAGTATGTGAACAGATGCAGTTATACCTACTATTTTGCCTGCTAACTTAACTGATTTGGAAAAAAGAATTCTATTAGAAAAAGCGTATTCAAGTCATTTTTGCAGTTACTCTAAACCTGTTAAGTGGTAATGGTTTAAATTAAGATTACATCAAAATTTTCTTTTGGCTCACTAAAACTTATTTCATATTTTAACAATCCTGTGTGAAGGATAATCATAGTTTAATATAAAATCATTTGAGACCAATCTCTCAGCATCTTATTTATATAAAAATATATGCTTAGTCCTTAGCATCTGGAATTTTTTAATAACTAGTTCTTAAAATTTAGATATATTACTTTGAAGTAAATTAATTCCATTTGGAATTCTGTATTTTGCATAAAATATATGAATTTCTTGAAGTCTTTGTTTTTGGTAATTTTGTGTGCTGTTCTATGTAACAAGTACCGGGTGATCAGGTATCAGGCACGTGGAGGCTCACGCCTGTAATCTCAGCACTTTGGTAATTAGAGGTGGTGAGAGGATTGCTTGAGCATAGGGCTTCGAGATCAGCCTAAGCAACTTGGCTATACCTTGTTTCTACCATAGATCAAAAAATTAGTTGAAGTGGTGGTACATGCCTGTAGTTTCAGCTACTTGGAAGGCTGAGGCAGAAGGCTCTCCTAAGCCCAGCAAGTCGAGGCTGCAGGAGCTATGTACATGCCACTGCACTCCAGCCTGGGCAACAGAATGACTCCAACTCAAAAAAACAGAAACAAGTACCTATTAAACACCTAATGAATTACCCCCAGCCTTTTCAAATTGGGGTCTCCGGCACTTGTTTATGTCAACCTGAAACACAATCAGAAGCATTTTCTAAACGAAAAGATGTTTATTTGGGAATACAGCGTTGCAATGAGTATTCACATGCCATGGTAAATGTATATCCAGCGAGATAAGAGAAGACAAATGTTTTTAAAGGAAAAAATGAGGAGGATTGCATAATTGTTTAGAAAGAATTATCCTTGGCTGCAAAGATCAGTAACAAAGATGACACCAGGCTGGGTTCTGTGGCTCAGTCTGTAATCCCAGCACTTTGGGAGGCCAAAGTGAGTGAATTGCCTGAGCCTGTGGGTTTGAGACCAGCCCAGGCAACTTAGTGAGGCCTCAACTCTACAATAAATTTTAAAAAATTAGCCAGGTGTGGTAGTGCACTCCTGTAGTTCTGGCTACTTGGAAGACTGAGGCAGAAGGATCGCCGGAGCCCAGCATGTCAATGCTGGGGTGGCCATGAGCATGCCACTACACCAGCCTAGGTGACAGAGTGAGACTCCAATTCAGAAAAACCAAACCAAACCAAAACAAGCAAGCAAACAAACAAACAAAAAAAGATAACACCAGTTTAAGGTTGTACAGTCAGTTTAAGGGTAGATGTCCTTGCAGAAATATTTTTTGTACACAGTTGTGATGGCCTATGTACAAGGCTGTGTGTGTGTTTTTTTTTAAATGGAGTCTTTTTTGTTATCAGGCATACAAGCATGAGAACCTTTTCTTCATGACCTTCCTTGGCTCTGTTTGTCAGAGTTTTCTTAACATTAGTGAGTCCACTTAAATTTTGACAACGTTCACATTTCTGTCTTTTGATCAAGATCTTTCTCCGATCAGTCATTAGTTAGGTGCTAGGATTAGACTATCCTGGTTGCTAGTCTCTTCCGTCCCATGTTCAGTGAAGTGATTGGTGACTGGTGACTGGGAGTCAGTGACGGGTCCTTTTTAGCTACATTTGAAAGGAGTGGCTCTCAGGCTAAGTCTACCTGGGGCCCACTATTAAGTTCAGTTTTCTCTGTTCCATAGTCCTTAGTGATCATCTCAAAATGCTGGGCCAACATTATTTTTTTAGGAGTTTTACTTCTGCAAAAATTTAACAAGGAACAGATATAAAATTTAAGAAGTGAAAATACAAAATAAAATTAATAGCAGTGTGACAGTTCCAGTTTGCATAATGGTTTTGAACCATGAACCTAGTCTTAAAGACAACTAATTGAATAGATCAAATGTCCACAGGAAATCAGTGAGACCTGTTGTAACCATGTGGCCTATTTTCTTATTTTGTGTGTATGGATTTCAGCTTTCTCAGAGAAATTTATCCAGGTACAGCATGTATAGTATTAGTAATTACACAAATATTTTCTCATTTAACCAATGGATCCTAAAGGATATTTTAGGTTAGGTTCTGTTAAGTTACCAGCTATTGATTATGAAATTTCACACTATTATTCTGTCAAATGAAAATAACATTAAGGGGTGATGAAAGTCTCTTTATGATTCGGTCCTGATGTCTTGGGAAAAGCTGTCTACCGCTTTCATGAAAATATCAACTTCTCTTGATTTGTAGCTTGAATGTATCTGGTCATGACACCCCGCAGCTTCGTATAGTTTGTGTGTGACTCATATATTTGGCATGAGGCTTGTTTCTTAAAATTTGAGTAGTTTCAGCTTATAAGGTTTTAGGAACAGAGCACCTTTTGCTTTTAGTTGGAGAATTGAAGCCAAATATTAGAGGAAATTAGGAGAATTCGGAAAGAATCTGGTCTGCAGGCAGATGACAAGAATTTAAAAACAATTCACAGGGCTACAGTCTAGTAACAGGCATTTTACAATTTTTCTTTAAAAGTATAACGTGCTTTTTTTTAATATTGATTATATAGGAGCCTCAGATTTAAAAACCTCTTGAGGCTAGGAAGCCAAGCCAGGGCACACTTGAGATTGTACTTATAGTCTGAAGGTTCTGGTGCCTGACAGGAAACAACAGTTTTTACTCACTCACTGTAAGGCTGAAAACTCTTAAAGTTCGGTATTTTATGCATGTTCTTAAGTGTAGCATTTTAGTCAAGCCTTGATAATATAACCAATGTTTCTAGTTGTATCCTGCCTATAAAGAGAGAGTAGATTTTTATTGAACTTAAGTAAATAAAAATAGGAATACTCAAAGTACATTTTGAATGTTGGAGGAATCAAGTAGGGAGAAAAAGCAAATGCTTTCACTTTTGTTCATAAAAGTAAACCTTACTAAATTGTTGTTACGTATAGATAGCTTATGAGAGAAAAATTCTTATTAGAGTTCATTACTTTTTTTTTTTTTTTTGAGTCAGAGTCTCATTCTGTCACGCAGGCTGGAGTGCAGTGACACGCTTATGGCCACAGTAGCCTCGACCTGCTGGACTCAGGTCATCCTTCCACTTCAACCTTCCAAGTAGCTGGAACCACAGGCATGTACCACCACACTCGACTAATTTTTTGATTTATTGTAGAGATTAGGTCTTGCCAAATTGCCCAGACTGGTCTCACACTAGTGGACTCAGGCAGTCCTCTTGCTTCTGCTTCCCAAAGTGCTGAGATTATAGACGTGAGTCATTACACCCGGCAAAGTTTTGGACTTTTTAAATCTAGTCCATTGATTTTAAAGTTTTCACAAATCTGTGTTCATGAGTACTTGCTAGAGTCTTCTCCATGAATAGCAATTTTGAAGAATAACCGATTGCAGATATTTTTTGTGAATTCAAGATAATAACTGTGGATGACAGAAATTTAGGACAGCCATGGTTAAAATCTGATAAAAGTTCCCAGTTTACAAGGAAATTTAGTTATTTCTATTACGTGCAGCATTTTAAGTCATTCAAGACCACTGACGTGATTTTTTGTTGTTCCAAATTCTGTTCCTGGTTGCAGCTGACATGAATTCACATCATTCCAAATTCTCCTCCTGGTTGCCACTGATGTGACAATATCTTTGCAAATTCTGCTTCTGAATGCTGCAACGTCGTCATATGTTTATGTTATTATATATATATATTTTTTTTTTTTTGCTTGAAAATGAATGGTCAGGCAAGGAGAGAGAAAGTTAATTGAGATATTTATCTGATATTGACTGCACAGTGTTGTTATTGATTTAAGTAATTGACAAAAAGTGCAAGTTGATCATTATTTTATTGCGATTAGTGCTGTATATTTGTATTTTGATATTTCAAGGCTTTCATACTTAAATATTAAAAATTTACCATAATTATGGAAAATGAAGAAATATATGCTGATGAGATTTCCGAGGTCGAAGGTGAATCCATTGCACTTATTAGTGATAGTGAGACAGATAGTGATGTAATGATACAGTAAACGAAGAAATATAATGCAGATAATCTATGTCAGTGAATCTAGTGCTGGTGAGAATGAATCAGACATTGAGTGGGCAAAATATGATGCAAAAAGAGAATTATATAGTATTAATTAACTGTATCTACAGGATGAGAGCTACCTTCTTTGAGGCTCTCCAGCAGCCCAACTGGGAAAGCCCAAAGTTAATTTTAGTTTAAGGAGACTTAATTTAGGATCTTGATGATCCTGGGGAAACCTGCCAAAGATGTCAAAAGCTTCAAAAAAATAGGAACTGTAGTTTAGAAGATGGCTGTTAAACAGATTTTAGAATTAAAAATCAAAACCTGGCCAAGCACGGTGGCTCAAGCCTGTAATCCCAGCACTTTGGGGGCCCAAGGCAAAAGGATTGTCTGAGGCTGCAGGTTCAAGACCAACCTGGGCAACATGGTGAGACCTCATCTCTACAATGAATCAAAAAATTAACCGGGCATGTTAACGCATGTGTGTAGTTCCAGCTACTTGGAAGGCTGAGGTGGAAGGATTGCTGGAGCCCAGCAGGTCGACACTGGGGTGTCCATGAGCGTGTCACTGCACTCCAGCCTGGGCGACAGAGTGAAACTTCAACTCAGAAAAAAAAGTGTTCACCAAAATGTTAACCCAGGTGTACAGATCAAACCAAATGCTAAACCAGGTGCACAGACCAAATGAAAAGGAAATTCACTACAAGATATGCCTCACAGATAGAATGTAGAAATCCAGAGTACTCAGTCCAGAAAGTCAGTTGTCTTTATACTAGAAAGGACTTAGTAGAAAATACAAAAAGCCTTTTATCATTACAGGAAGAATTTTTCTAATAATTAAAGTGACCTTATATATACCAGATCCCAAAGAATATTAAAGAATCTCTACCAACTTAAGAGAAGACTCAACAGGGCAGAATGGGCAGGCTGCAGCCATGGAGAGCTCAGAGGGCTCAAGTGAGCACTGCACACTGGTATCAGGAAGCTTTGATTCCTTCCGTGGTGATCTTTTCCCAGGCCTCCTTCTGACACAGTATATCGTGAATGTCAACCACAGTAATATCAAACAAACAGATTTTTCTCTTAGAAAGTATATTTATTTGGGAATAGAGCATTGCAGGGGACATACCCATGTCATAGTCAGCTGTTTGTGTATTCAGGGAGACAAAGGAAGACAGGATTTTAAAGGAAAAAAATGATTACATAATGGTTTTGAAAGAGTGAGTCTTGGCTATAAAGATCAATAACAAGGGGGATGCCAATTTGAGGTTGGACAGGTGGTTACTGGGCAGATATTCTTGCAGAGGTATTTCTTGGATAAGGTTGCATTGTCTTTGTGCAGGGTTGTGTTTTTTGTGGAGTCTCTTTGTTATCAGGCATACAAGCACGGGAATCTTCTCTTCATGGCCTTTCTTGGCTCTGCTTGTCAGGATTTTCTTAACATTCGTGATTTCATTTTGATTCTGACAGCTTTTACAGTTATTCTATTAACTTTAAGTTATACATGAGAAAACATAAAGAATTGGTTAAGAAAGGAAATTTTCAGGACTGCAACTTCATGTGTCCTCATAAAAGTAATTGTTAAAAAGAAAAGTACATAGAGAACTAAAAAACACCGATGAAAGAAATTGTAAAAGAAAAAAAAAAAAAAAGAAAAGTACACACTTCAGCATAAATTCAGGGGGATTTATCTTTTGCAGTCTGACACTGATATAAGTAGTTTTTGCTTCTGTAAAACTAAATACTTAACTGGGTGTGGTGGCATGCACCTATAATCCCAGCTACTCAGAAGGCTGAGGTGGGAGGATCACTTGAGTCCAGGAGGCCTGGCCAGCAGTGCACTATTGTCATTCACGTGCTCACACTAGCTTCAGCATCAGTGACCTCTAGGAGTAGGGGACCACAGGTTGCCTAAGGTGGGGTGAACCAGCCCAGGTTCGAAACAGAACAAGTTAAAACTTTCGTGCTGATCAGTAGTGGGATTGCGGCCATAAATAGCCACTGCACTGTCACCTGGAAAACATAGTGAGACCCTGTCTCTTAAAACAAACAAACAAGCCGGGCTCGGTGGCTCAGCCTGTAATTCCGCGCCTTGGGAGGCTGAGGTGAGTGGATTGTCTGAGCCCGCGGGTTCGAGACCCACCAGGGCAGCAAGACCTCATCTCTACAATAAATCCAAAAATCAGCCGGGCATGGTAGCGCATGCCTGTAATTCCGGCTACTTGGAAGGCTGAGGCAGAAGAATCGCCGGAGCCCAGCAGGTTGAGGCTGTGGTGGCTGGAAGCGGCCACTGCACTCCAGTCTGGGCGATAGTGAGACTCCAACTCAAAAAAAAACACTGAATATTTTAAGTTAGAAGTGGAGTTAAAAAATATTTTGAGCTATGTCAGAGTCCTGTCAGTTTTCAATATATCTTTTACTTAGCTTTCTCATTAATTTCATAGCGAAATCCTGTTGGTGCTACCTTCAAAGCTTAACTCCTGGCTGACCATTTCACCACTTCCACAGCTATCACTCTAACTCAGCCACCATTGTGTTTGGTTTGGGTTATGTGGTGGCATACTCCATGGTCTCCCTGTTTCCTCTCTTACACCTCTAGAACATATTCTCTGTAGATCACCAGCATAAATCTTGCTCGAGATCCTCCAGTGGTCTCCATCACACATGACTAGCTGTTCCTGCCTGCAGGATGCCACTCCACCTTCCTGGCCACCTCTCATCTTGCACCCTCTTCCACTTGCTCGCTTCATGACAGCTGTGTTCTCTCTGGCCTACCAGTCACGACTGCTCTGGAACCTTGCACTTGCTGTGGCTGCTCTTGGGATACTCTTTGTCATCACTGTGGCCACCTTCCCAAAAAGGCTGAAAGTCCATCTTTCCTTACCACTGCCATTCTTGTCCACTGCCTCTGCCTTGCCTGCCTGTTGGTTGGCTTTTGCAGTGAGTGGATCACCTGGAACTTTTCTTTGTCTGTTTGCTTCCCATTAGTGAGGGCATTTGCCTCGTCCACCAATCTCTCCTAGCCCTTGGAACAGTGCCTCCCAGGTGTTCAGCAAATACTTGCTGAGTAAAAGATGGCCGATAGCAAAAGTATTTATGTCTATGTATAGAGACAACCTTTTTTTGTTTTTGTTTTTAAAGTTGGAATCTGACTCTGTTGCTCAGGCTGGAGTGCAGTGGCACAATTGCAGCTCACCGCAGCCTCAGGCAATCCTTCCTTCTCAGCTTTCCAAGTAGCTGGACCTACAGACACATATTATCATGCCTGGCTAATATTTTGATTTTTTTTATAGAGACAAGGTCTCGCTGTATTGCCCAGACTAGTCTTGAATTCCTGGGCTCCAGTGATCTTCCCACCTCAGCCTCCCAAAGTGCTGGGATTACAGGTGTGTGCCACCATGCCCAGTAAAGACTTAGTCTTTTATATTTATTGATGTTGTGCTTTTATTCCCCCAGAGACCCTGAGATATGGCGTCTGGCCTGCTTGAAAGTTTGGGGCAGAAGCTGTATTAAACTTGTTTCATACACATCCTGGAGAGAGATGTTTTTAGAACGGCCTCGTGTTCGGTTTGATGGTAAGTTGGACTTTGTAGAACTCAGGCGAAATAGTGATCTATAATGCTGATTTTGATAAATACTAAGTGCTGTGGACATGTATAAAGGAAACCATAATAAAAATAAAGCTGGGAATGTGTTATATGATTGTAATTTTTAAAGTTTTTTAAAATTTTATTCTTTAAAAAAATCAATTTCTTGTATTTTTCATAGGCGTATATATCAGTAAAACTACATACATTCGTCAAGGGGAACAGTCTCTTGATGGTTTCTATAGAGCCTGGCACCAAGTGGAATATTACAGGTACAACTGTAGTAAACTGAGTGAGTGGAAAATTCTCTCTCTCCAAGTATTAGTTCATTAGTTACATGGACAATCTGTTCTTTGTTTCTTTTGACTTACCCACAAAATGACTCAGGGTTTTTATCTAGTATTACAACGCAGAAACTGCACTCAAAAAAACCAACAGGTTGATATAAATTACATACATTGATATATAATTTATATAATTCCTTCTGGCCTTGTTATCTTAGAGCTCTTTGTCATTGGCCTTGGGTATACTCATTTGCCTTTTCAAATTGTCCTTTTATTCCATTTTACTGTTCACCAATATTACTGTATGTATGTTTGATACCCACTGTGCGTTATTATTAGATCTCACCTTTCTTCAGTGAATGAAACTAAAAGTTCAGCAGTTTCCCCTAAGGAAGATGGAAGATGTCTTTGGTTCTTGTCAGTCACATTTGCTTTAATGTTTTATCGGTTCTTTGGCCCATGATTCTTCAGTTTTGGTCTCCTAGCTGTGAGTAGGCATAGGTACTGATACATAAGGTCATGTTTTATACTTTGTGTGTGTGGTGTGTGTGGTGTTCTCTTCCTTCTTACACAGGTACATAAGGTTCTTTCCTGATGGCCATGTGATGATGCTGACGACCCCTGAAGAGCCTCAGACCATCGTTCCCCGCTTAAGAACAAGGAATGCCAGGTGGGCTCTTTCTCTGGATTCATCCAGTCCACATTTTATATGCTTTGTTGACTTAATACTGGATGATTAATAAAGCATTTCTTGGGGGGCACTTGTGAAAACTACCCATTCCTGGGCTTCTCCTTGGAGAGTCTCTTTGGGAGTCTCTGGGGTCTGGGATTGAGGTTGACTCAGCCTCGCTGATTCTTCTCAGGCAAATCAAGTAAACACAGTTGTCATAACTGATTAACACACTTAGATTTAAAATGTTTTTATTTTTAGAACTGACGCCATTCTACTGGGTCATTATCGCTTGTCACAAGATACAGACAATCAGACCAAAGTATTTGCTGTAATAACTAAGAAAAAAGAAGAAGTAAGTATGCAAGGCAGAACTAACAGCTTTCTTCTTATTTTAATACCCTGTTCATTCAAGCATTTTCAATTAGAAAGAACAAAAAATACTGTCTCATTATTTATACTGTTACACAGAACATACATTCACTTCTAGCATGTCGTGGGAGATCAGCTTGTTTTTCTCTGTTTGGTGTCCTTACCTGGTCCAGTGTTTTTGCATATGAAAATGTAAAGCCAAGATCTTGTGTGAAATAACTAATACAACTCTACCTGAATATTTTTTTTTTGGCTCTTCTCAGGTTGAATCATGGGTTTTTTTTCCCCCCTTCCTAAATTAGCTCATATGGATAATTCTTTTACAAGGATATTCTTAGAACTTCATTTTCTTCTGGAAATAAGCTAAAGTAAGATCATTTTATTATAGCTCTTCTTGCTAAAGGAGAAAAAGAATGCCAAGCAAAGATTATTATGGATATTACCACATTCTAGAGTGCTTTAACTTCTAATTTTTTCGCAGCTTTTCTTCATATGCACTTTTAAAATTCTGATTAAACACCATAATATATATATACCCAGAAAGTCAGTTGTGAGATAGCTAGAATAAATACTTGCCTGTTGCCTTTATGATTAATAGGTTCTGATAGAGATTTCTCTTGTAGACATCCCTCTTCTCCAGCACCATGTATCGAGATGGTTGTGGCAGGGTTTCATCCGGGAGTCCTGTTGCTGGCTTCTCCACTTTCCTCTGATAGGCTCATGTATCTGGGCAGCAGTCTGAGAGATAGAGATATTAGTAGTTACTTTGACTATGACCGTGAGTTCCCTGAGGTCAAAACTGGAGACTTGTGAGGCCCTAGGTGCTTAGGTTTTATCTAATAAAAGAGTTTAGGAACTTTTCTCTTCAGAATATTGACATATGAGGACATTCATAGTATTTACATTTTTGTGCTTTGAACAGCAGCATTTGCAGAAGTGTGATTCTAATGAACCATGTGACAGCTATTTTTCCATTGACCATTGTATTTTTATTACAAAAGATAAGTTATACTTTGTTTTTCTGCAGCCTTCACCAATTTATTACTTTCCCCCCCAAAAATTCCCAAGTGCTTTCTAGTAGAAGGAAATACTAGGCTTAGAGGTAAGAGACAAAAGTTTTAGTTCTCATCTCTGAAACTATGAACTTTGATTGACAAATTTGGCCTCCCTGGATCTTTCATTTCTTTAGCTAGTAAATGGAAATAGTGCAGTCACATTTAACACCTAGGGTTATTGTGATGATTAACTGAAATGATGATGAGGGTAAACCTGATATTTTTAGAGTATTTAACATTTTCCAAGGTACTCATATACATCCTCATGTGATACCAGGGCAACTCTTTTTTAAAATTTATTTATTCCTTTTTAAAAAAATTTTAAAGGTGTGGGGTACAATTCAGGGTTAGGTATGCAAATGTTCATTATGCAGTTACCCTTGTTAATGAGGTGTGCCCCTCCCTCCCCTGGCAGTTTCCCTCAACTGCCAGTCCCACCCCATGCTCCCCTGACAGTTTTCTACTGCTGCCAATCCCTTTCTAAGACAATTCTTTACTGCCTGCAAATACATTACTTTTAGTCTCATTCTTGCATAATATATTTCTGTTAACGTTTATGTATGTGAGGTAACATTTCATTATAGTTTATGTACCTTTTCTTTTGCAGAAACCACATGACTACAAATATAGATATTTTCGTCGTGTTCCTGTACAAGAAGCAGATCAGAGTTTTCATGTGGGGCTACAGCTGTGTTCCAGTGGCCACCAGAGGTTCAACAAACTCATCTGGATACATCATTCTTGTCACATCACTTACAAGTAGGTGAATGCAATAAAAATAAGGTTACGGCATAAATGTATATTTCATATCTAGCTTAGGAAACTCAGATATGTTTTGAATTCCTCAGAGTTTACATTACAAAGCAAAACCACAGTAATACTACTACTACCAACCAAAGAAAATGGCCAAAATGGAAAAGACTAGTGTGACCAGGGAAATAGAGCATCAGAACTCACACAGTGCCTGTGGGGATATGATTGGGACCACCACTTTGGAAATGAAAGCAGCATTCCATGGCAGAGTGGGACTTAGCACTAAGCTGTCCCTGTCCACGTGTTATTCATTCATGGACTCATTCAAGGCAATTTGAAATGCTAGATTATTTCTCTATTCTCACAGTTCAGTCCTGTCATTTTTCTCTTTCATTTGGTTCATTCTCAGGGATTAGGCACTGGTTTTTCTGAAATTGTAGTTAGGGAAAGTAAGTCTACTAAACAATAGTATCTTGGTATTTCAAAACCAAATCTGTTAGGATATTCCTATGTAAGGTCTCTGTTCTATGATGTAGGATCTACCTGTATGAAATAATTAATGGACTGAAGAGGGTGAGAGAGAGAGGAGCAGTGCAGAAATACGTAAAATCACAAAGGGAACCAGGGAAGTGAAATATCAGTTTGTTTGGATATTAGGGTTTGAGAGAATATTGGCGTGTGCTGGAGTTCTTCGTTCCAATTGAATCCAAAATTTAGAGAGGCTTGAGTTTTGAGATCAGCTTCCTTTAACCTCTGCAACCTTGACCACATTGCTGTAAACTTTCTTGGACACATTTCTACCTTGTAGATAACTTTCCCCCACTCATTTGGAAGGTCCTTGACAACTGAGAAAGAGGGTTTCTCCTTCTCACCTTTACCTACCAATCCTACTATGACCTCTGCAATGCAGGGGAATTTTTTTCTACTTTTTTTTTTTTTTTTTTTCTTTGTGAATCGGAGTCTCACTGTCGCCCAGGCTGGAGTAAAGTGGCACACTCATGGCCACCGCAGCCTCGTCCTGCGGGGCTCATACAATCCTTCTGCCTCAGCCTTCCAAGTAGCTGGAACCATAGGCGTGTACCACCACACCTGGCTAATTTATTTATTTATTGTAGAAATGAGGTCTCACCAAGTTGTCCAGGCTGGTCTCGAACCCCTTGGCCCAAGCAATTCTCTCACCTCTGCCTCCCAAAGTGCTGGGGTTATAGACTTGAGCCACTGCACCCAGCTATCTTTTCCCACTTTTCAAAGAAAGAAACTAAACCCGGAAGTAGAACCAAACGAATGATGACTGTGGGTCATGCTTGACCCATTAGAAAAGCTTCTTTTTTTTAGAAAGAAAAAGAACATGATAGTAGGCATTATGTGTAGCTGCTAGTGATCACATTGATTTCCTTATAATGTTTATAAAGTTTATAAAATAATTCTCTGCTTTTGTTTGTTTCTCTTCCTGTAGGGGCTTTGGTAGCATAATTTCTCACCTACGTCCCCTTCCCCTGCCTGTAATTATGCTGTTGGTCATGTACATATTAAATCATTAAATTCTTGGGATAGAATTCTCTCTGAAACACATTTTAACAAGAGCCTTAAAATGTCTACAGCCAGCTGGGCACAGTGGCTCATGCCTGTAAACCCAGCACTTTGGGAGGCCAAGGCAAGAGGATTGCCTGAGTCCAGGGGTTTGAGACCAGCCTGGGCAACTTGGTGAGATCTTGTCTCTACATAAATCAAAAAATTAACTGGGCATGGTGGTATGTGCCTATGGTCCCAGCTACTTGGAAGGCTGAGGTGGAAGGATCACCTGAGCCCAGCAGGTCGAAGCTGCCATGGCTGTGAGTGTGCCACTGTACTCCAGCCTGGGTGACAGAGTAAGACTCGGATAAAAAAAAAAAAGTTTAATGGAAAATGTTTAATGATGTGAGGAAATACACATGATATACTGTTAAATGAAAAAAAGAAGAATTACTAATAGAGTATGATTTTTTTTTTAAGAAATGCTAGAAGAAAGTACTTCATATGGCTCTGGGTGGTGGAATTATGAGGGCTTTTTAAAAATACCTTTCTAAGCTTTCAAATTTTCTACAACATGAAATTATCTGTATATTATATTATCTGTAATCTAATGAGATGAATTAAAATAAAAAAGACTGAAGCATAAAATAACCCCCCCACCAATAAGCAAGGATTTAAATGAGCTGAAATTTCCTTGTACTGTAAAATGTGCTTTCTTTCCAGATCAACTGGTGAAACTGCAGTCAGTGCTTTTGAGATCGACAAGATGTATACCCCCTTGTTCTTCGCCAGAGTCAGGAGCTACACAGCATTCTCAGAAAGGCCCCTGTAGACCCCTGGTCCAGCCCTCCGTCACTGTTGCATGAATTAAAGTATATAGTGCAGAAGAGCACCTAAGTTATAAATGTACATATATATATGGAATTGGAACTTATTTTAAATTGTTGGAGTTCTTTTAAGAAGAGTATAAATTGATTATTTTTTTTATTTAAAGGATAGTTGATTCTTGGGGTGTTTTGTTTTGAAATTAAAGAATTTGAAATAAGTTGTCTAAGTATATTTATGTTACAGAAAAACCTTATATGAGGTTTAAGTCATGTCTTTTTCAAGCAGATTTCTGAGCAGATTTCTGTCACATAAATCTTCTACCTGAGCACCCTAATATGTATGTAGGTGCATCAGGGGACAACTCCACTGGATAAGCTTTTTATTTCCCGCATGACATAATGTCTTTGCACTCAGGCTAAAAATGTGAAAACCTGTTCTGAATTTGTTTGAAACTGTTTTACCAGTAAAGATCATAAATAAATGTTACTTTCAAGAAAATATGTTTGGATGGCCTTGTTGAAACATGAGAACATTTATTAAACAGCCCTGGGATAACCAGCAGAGACTTAAGAATTGTTGCCTCCAGGTGGGCACAGTGGCACATGCCTGTAGATCCAGCTACTTGGGAGGCTGATGCAGGAGGATCGCTTGAGCCAGAAATTCAAGTCCAGCACGGGCAACAGAGCAGCACCGGCAACAGAGCAGCACCCTGTCTCTAAAAAACAAAGAAAGAAAGAACATTGCCTCATTCCATCATGGTCTTTCCATGTAGCTGCAGACTGTAGATCCCTACACTCTGCCCTTACCCAGGCACCTTACCAGTATTTGACATTCAGTGACAGAGTGAATCCCTCGGGACAGGGACTCTTCAAGCTCAGCCAACAGACTCTTCATTCTTTAGGCAAGAGTAATAGAGGACCATGTCAGCCCAGGCCCAGTGCGTGTCATAGTATGAGAGCTAGGAGGGAGGCAGCCTGAATGTTACCTTTCCACTTAAAGGCGCCCTCCTTACAGTAACAGTCTGCTTAGTGTGTAATTTCAGAGTGTGCCTCTGACAGACCTCTACCTGATTCAGATTTGATTGGATTTGGGTGATTCAAATGCAGCTAAAGCTGAGTTGTCATTCACTTTCAGAAATCAGCATCTGCAGCCACTATTGCTTTCAAGTTCGTATGGACACTGAGAGACACTTCTTAGGTTCCCACAATTCAGTATGGGATAGGTGTGCTAAGAAGCGCACACAGCTCATGGTGTAAAGTGGAAACCCCCACATCCAGCATGTGTACAGAAAGAAGAGAGTTGGTAGGTGGGCCTTTCGCAGCAGTCTGAGAAATGATGTGTTTTTCAAGTTGGAAAAGGGAGAAAAGCCACTTGCCTAAGGTAAGGCAGCATGATTAGGAAATAGTCAAATATAGTTAGAAAAATATTGCTAAGGAAAGAGGAATTTGATGAACTTACTGTTTTGCCGCTCATCCTAGATGAGAGTATCTGTTGCAGACGGCGGATACCAAGTTCAAACTTGGGGACTTCTTTGCAAGCAGTAAAGCAAGTTTCACTTCTTTAGCTTTGAGCTGGAAACAGTAATTTTTTCCAGATTACAGTTTCTTTATATTTAAAGTTGTGTTTTTTAAAAATACAAAATCAACATACATTTATTATGAAAAAATTAAAATAATATAGAGAATTTAAAAATAAAATAATCTGGCTGGGTGCAGTGCCTTTAATCCCAGCACTTTGGGAGGCCGAGGCAAGAGGATTGCCTGAGTTTTGGAACTGGAGACCAGCCTAGGCAATGGTGAGACCTCTTCTCTACAATAAATAAATAAGTTAGCCAGGCATGGTGGTATGTGCCTGTAGTCCCAGCTACTAGGAAGGCTAAGGTGGAAGGATCACCTGCAGCAGATCGAGGCTGCAGTGGCCATGATCATACCACTACACTCCAGCCTGGGAGGCAGAATGAGAGTCTGACTCAAAAAATAAATTAAATACTCTGAACATCTGAAAATAACTAACCGAAAGGGGGTTTTTGCTGTGTGACCTTTTCCTCCTATTCTTTGCAAATCCTACCATAGAAGCCTTTTACCCTTAGGAATGTCCTTCTTGGCGCTATTTGGACATTACAGAAGCCAGATCTATGGAAAGCTGACAGTAGTCTCGATTAACTCTTAAAAGCCAGCAAAGCATTTCCCAGAAATTTCATTTCCTATCCTGTGTGAACTACCTGTGTTCAGGGATGTCCTCGCAGGCCTAAGCACCAGCCTGTCTAGTCACCAGTTCTTCCTGTCTTTCATTGTCCTCCTAGCCTCCTTTCCACACCTTAGTAGAGAGCAAGATACAAATGCTTGGGGTCCTTGGGGGCCAGGGGTGTGGACTCCAAGTATACACCTGGGGCAAAGCATTATTAACCTTGAACCCTCTCTTCCTGGTTCTACTGGCTCTAGAGTAACCACGCTTCACCTTATGGTATTTATCTTTTGACGCTATTCTGTGCATCTCTTAAAAATGGGATGGTCTGGACACAGTTGCTCTTGCCTGTCATCCCATCGTTTTGGAAGGCTGAGGCAGGCATAAGGTAGGGGAGGAATCACCTGAGGCCAGGAGTTTAAGACCAGCCTGAGCAACATAGCAAGCAAGACCTCTTCTTTACAAAAAAAAAAAAAAAAAAAAAAACCCTAAATATTAGTGGATGTGGTGGCACATACCTGTAATCTCAGCTACTTGGGAGGCAGAGGTGGGAGGATCACTTGAGCCCAGGAGTTCAAGGCTGTTCTCAGCTATGATCATGCCCAGTGTACTCTGACCTGGACAACAGAGTGAGGGCCAGTCTCAAAAAAAAAAAAAAGTGAAAATGAAAATTGGGATTATGTTGTGTGTTATCCTTTGTAAGATTGCTTTCTCCTCATAATAATGCCATGTAAGCATTTTGTGACATATTTTCCATGGCTTTATAATCCAACTTTATGTTCCTCTGTACACATTTTGCTTTTCTAATTTAATGCTAGTATAAATGTTTTTGGAAAGAACATCCCTGTGGTTGAATCTTCCCACAAGTCTTGAATTATTCCCTTGGGCTATTTCCAGGAAGTAGAATTACTGAATCAAAGGGTGAATGTTTTTAAATATCTTAAGCATTTTTGGTAAGAACATATGCACTATAGACAAAGTAGAAAATAGATGAGCAGAGAGAAGAAAAGTTTGGTGTAGTAGCTCAAACCTGTAATCCCAGAAATTTGGGAGGCCAAAGCAGGAGGATGGCTTGAGCCCAGGAGTTTGAGACCAGCCTGGGCAACATAGCAAGTACAGACTTTATCTGTACTAAAAAATAAAAAAAGAATTAGCCAGGCATGATGGCACATACCTGTAGTCCCAGCTACTTGGGAGGCTGAGGCAGAAGGATCACCTAAGCCCAGGAGGTCGAGGCTGCAATGGCCATGAGTGTGCCACTGCACTCCAGCCTGGGCAACAGAGTGAGACCAAAAAGGAAGAAAATATAAATCAACTATAGTCACCTCACCTAACCAAATCCAGTACTCATTTTTGGGTGTTAATTGTTCACATAGATGTGTGATTTTTCACTCATATGGTGAAACACAGTCTATCTCCTTTATCTGATGCTTTCATGCTGTGGATCTTAAAAACCGGGCCAGTCCTTTCTCCATGATGGGCGCTGTGTGTTGGCGACAACTCTAGGTCACTTGGCAACTGTGACATATAGGCTAAGGCTCCCCTGGCGACAGAGAGCTCAACTAAGGTCAGAGCAAAACAGGAGCTAGGGCAATACAGTAGGATCCTAGCTTCACAATGACCATCAGTCACGTGACCATCAGAGAGCATCCCCATATCCAAAAGTTATCTCTGTCTTGAGTTATGTATGATGAACAAAACGTGCACATTTATCTCTACCACCTCCTGCAATGCCAGGCTTAGGCTCTCCAGGACAAGGAGAATGAACAGGAGAGCGCTGACAGCAGGTGAGAGGGCAGTGTCAGCAAGCAGAAAGCGGATGGGCCGGTGATATGGGAGCATGGCGCATGGATTCTGGGTTGATGTGCCTGATCCATGTCTTGGTGACTGAGCAAATTACCTAAATTCTCCAAGTCACAACTATGAGTTGGAGAACGTGGTAGCACCTATCCATGGAGTTGGGGGAGTAACTGACCACACTCCACGATAATTGGTTAGGATAACGCCTGTTGAGTTGGTGCTCAATAAATAGTCTGCATACCTATATTATTACTATCATGACTGTTGCTGTTCCAGAGAGACTTTGTGACCTCAGCGGGAAGCAGGGGAAGCTCAAAAGGAAAACTGACTCCACTGCCCTCCTGCTTGAAGGCAAGGCACCACACTGAGACAGCATGGCCCTGTGGGAAGGACTCCCACAACCCTCGGAACTCAATTGCCAGGCTTATACCATCAGGCTGGAACATGGTGGCTTCCTCTCTGGGAAAACAGACCCTCCCATCCCCATCTCCAAAAAGAGAGAGAGATACAGACATTTAGGAGTCTCAACAAAATAGAGCCCTCCCACCCCTCTCAGCAGCAAGTCCCACCCACACATAGAGTTTCAGTCAACTTCTTAGCAGCTCATTTCCGGTTGTCAATAGACAAGCAAGGAACTGCAGGTATTTGAACAGTCTCTAATGTGGAGGACAGAGAAGCAAACTTATTAAGTAAGCAGAGCAGAAGGAAGTGAAGGAAATAGAAAAATAAAAGGAATTTTAAAATCAAAACAAAATTATATACCTTAAGAGAGATGAAAGGAGGAACACATTCATGAAACAAGAACAAGAGACTATAAATAAAAAATAGAAGGCAGAATCTTTGGATATAACAAATATTATAGCGGCATTTTAATTTTTTAAATTAATACAGATAGGGGCTAAGTGCAATGGCTCACACCCGTAATCCCAGCACTTTGAGAGGTAGAGGCAAGAGGATTCCCTGATCTCAGGGTTTTGTGACCCCCCTGGGCAACTTGGCAAGACCTAGTCTCTCCCTACAATAAAAATAAAAATAAAAATTAGCCAGGTGTTGTGGCACGTGCCTTTAGTTCTAACTACTTGGAAGGCTGAGGCAGAAGGATCACCTGAGCTCAGCAGGTAGAGGCTGTGTTAGCCATGAGCGTGTCACTGCATGCCAGCCTGGGTGACAGAGTGAGACTTCGACTCAAAAGAATAATAATTTTTAAAAAAATTAATAGAGATAGAATCTTGCTATGTTGCCTAAACTGGTCTCAAACTCCTGGGCTCAAGCAATCCTCCCAAAGTGCTGGATTACAGGCATTAGCCACCACACCTGGCCATTAGCTAATTTTGTTTAAATGTCAGGTGAAACATAGGATGTTAAAGCTGGAAGTTTCCTTAGGAGTCATTTATCCACCAACTATCCCCATGTGGAGGTGAGACAATGGGGTTCTTGAAAGGTGAGGTTGTTTACCTCAGATGGTAAACTAGGGCCCTCACACACACACACAAAAATTATGCAAAGGGCCTGGCAG